CAACGATACCCAAAATGTCTCCTTTATTTCCCTCTTCAACCCCCAAGACAGTCCTCAGGTGGACTGCGCATACTTCAACTGCCCTGCATCAGCAGGAGGGGGCGAAAAGCAGAAACAAGGTACCGGCGAAGACAAGGAAGTGAAGGCGCTGATTTGCGCCACGACTCCCGAAGCCTTGAAAGCTGGCGAACAACCTTTTAAGTAAGGTCCCTTCTGTGAGCGTACTGCAGTTATCGTTGCCCAATTTATTTTCTTTGGTTCCTGTCTGCACTGTCTGTCTCCCTCTCTAGTTGTCTGCGAGTTGCAGGAGTGGCTGTGTGCGTCTCAGGCAAGAGCAGTGGAACAAAATAACGGTGGCTCTCAGTTCCGGTAGCACCGTAGGACCAGTGCCGACATTCCTTGCACTGGCTGCTGCTGCGCTGGCCGCTGTTTTCTTCTGAACAGCTCCTGGGTTGGCGAAGGCGAGTCGCAGCAAATGCAGAGCTGCCGCTTTCAGCACCTGAGAGAAGATACGGCAAAACCCTTAAAAAGCTGGGCCGTCGGCCTAGTTTTGTTGCCCTTTTTGCTTTAGTCTTTTGTTTTGACAGCGTTGTGCCTTTTTGCATAAGGCTGCCATCCATAGTTTTCTGTGATACACTCTTGAACACACAGACGAGTCTTCAGTATGCAACCGGCATGAGCACTGGGCTCCGACGGGTAACCCTGAATTCACTGGAAGGTACACGCACAGGGGTTTATGTACTAGTAGCCACTGTATAGTTGCCTGGGCATTTGTATTGTTGTTGATAGTACAACATAAACCGAACCAATACTGCGGTGCAGACAAATATATTTCCATAATTACCTTCTCCGTATGGAACAGCCTTGGGGTTCGAAAGGGGCGAAACCATAATGTAGAGAGCTGTTGACGACACAGGTCTGTGCACTTTCGCTGTACCGTGGACCGGCAGGCTGCAGGGTAGCTTCTGTGCCGCTGATTCCTCTGCACTGGATTGAGTTCAGCTACCCAAGCAACATTTGCAGCAATTCAAAACTCGAATAACTAGAGATGGAGAGACTGAACTACCTGCACCCCCTTTGTGACGGCCCTAGAGTTCAGGATTGACCCCCCAAGCAACATAACGCTTTAAGGTACTAGAATTATGCATAAGCCGTATGCTTTGGATGCCTGTTAGTTCATGATTAGGCCCCTACTACTCTATGATCAATCGATCTACATCACGCTGCAGATGGTAAGCACCTCTGTAGATATCAGAGTGCTAGTTGTGAAGCTTCATATTCCATGGAGGAGGAACAAAATCAACTTCTTTGAACTGAAACCAGCATTTCAGTCATCTAACCTCCTACGAAACACAGGGATTAGTTCGTCTAAATTAACACAGCTACATAGTCAACACAGGTTTCTTCTTTCTGTTTTTTATGCATTTTGGAGTGCGCAGAGATCCCAAAGTAACGCCCTAATGTGTATATCTGAACTGGATTAAAGTGTTTCAATGAAGGAATCACAGCAGCCGCCTCAACGGTTAAAACAGCGCTGAGTACATGGGGACGGGCGCAGGCGGTGGCGTCTCCACTCTGGGAACTTCCCGCTGGAAACTGCAAACAAAATATGGATCTTTAGGTGAAACACTCCAACGCATAAAATTTATAATTGCTTGATTCCACTCATTGGCAACTGCAAGAGGAAATATCTTGCTCTCACCATTAGAATGACCAGTGGACCGGTGGGCAAACTGAATCCACGTCGAACTTCATCATCAGATTCGCACTCCATTTCGAGTACAAACCGTCTCCCACGCGAAAAAACAGAATTTCAAGCTAGGGCAAAAACGCTTAGATGAAGACTGGGTGCACACAGTGGCGAGCTGCAGTGCACGCCTTGGTGTTAGCTGCTGCAGCCATGGGAATGCTCGAGCCGCTACCTCTGCATCAGCACGATCCCGACGGTTGGGATTCTTTTGCCTGCTGGACCGAAGTGACGCTTACCTATACAAGTTGGAGAGTGGCATCTTCTTCGTCTTTTCAAGCTTTTAATTTTGGTTTGGTGCACGAGGATGGCTCCACTCTTGCTCCAGTCGCTTGCGGCTGTCGCCGTGCTAGGTGCCACGGCGGCGCTCGGCGGGAACACGAGCAAGAACTCGGCCAGTAAGTCACCGATTAGTTCAGCCATACAGGGGTTGATAAGATGTGAAATACAAAAAATGAATGGGGAATAAATGCCTTTGTTGTGCGCACAACTACAGAAAAAATAGATTGCTCAACCCATATGAACGCGGTGCGAACACTTGCGGGTTTCAGCCCTCTGGAACTCGGAACGACAGAGCAGGAACAACTCCCCATTTTAGGCAGCGAGAGTGCCCTTGACACCGAATATGTGGAAAAAGTCTGCACTGCCATGAAAGCTGTGAGCCTTTCTCGGCACAGCGAACCCCCAAGTCTCTATTACTACCAGATGAGTTTCGGTCCTGCTGCTTAGCTATCGAACCTCATACAAATGCGCTGTTCTGTATATAGTAGTTTTCTTGCTCCTGTGCACTGGGCAATGCGATCAGGACAAGGCGCCTTCCGAAAAAGCAGCCACACTCACTGGTACCTACGCGTATGCGGT